CTCCCATTTGTTGCTAAAATGTGCACGAAAGGGCACAAGTTTAGTTAGATAAATTCTATATTCCTTAAAAAGGGCACGTATATACGAAACTTGATTCAGATGAACTGCAAAAGACATAGAGAACGGTGGAGAAGAGAAATTTCGTTGGGATCGGTCGAATTTATAAATACGAGAGTGTCTGTCCTTCAGTTCTGTGTAAATGGAATACTATGACAGAACTTGGCATTCCTCCATTTCGTATTAAAATTGCTTTCTTTCGACGAAAAAACGAAAGGGTCTATAATAGGGTTTGGAAACTTTCCATCGCAATATAGCGATAGATCATCAGAAATTCGTGATCCAATTTGTACGCGTAGCGCTGGTATAACTAGCTAGTGACACCAATTGGCAGTCGATTGTGGAAAACGACGTTTGTTGCTATTCGCTGCAGATAGTTTTTAATCAATGAAGACTGTTTAGTAACTCCGTGCTACAAAAAAGCAGCAGATTTTGTGGGTTAATATTGCAACTTACATTAAAAGTACTTAATAGAAAAAAACCATCACCAAATAGGCACCATCAGTAAAGAGGAAATTGCAATCTCGAATTATTGATTGTTTCGCCTTTCCTGCATCAGCTTATGTACAGGGTGTCCCACGACGAAAGCGTCGTCTCGAAACAACGATCTTTTAAAATTTGACTGTATATTAATGTTAATAAGACGAATTCATCTAAAATATTTTAAATTTAGTGGCACTTCCGATTATACGAGGGATACTAGAAAAGACATCTCCTTTTCAACATGAGCAGTGTCAGCCCCGTGGATTCCTTGACTGTTGACGCCTGAACAAAAGTTATGCAGAATGCAAACTTCGCGTTGCTATCTGGCAGCTTTGGGAAACGATGCTCACTTTTTGGTATAGAACTGATGGCCACAGTTTTTTGGGATATGAAAGGTGTTCTCCTAATGGAATACATGAAAAAAGGGGCTACTATAATTGCAGGGGCTATCGCAACACTTTACAAAATCTTCGCAAAACCATTGACGATAAACAGCTCCCTCAGGCCAATCGGATAATGTTTCTAATGCACGACAATAGAACTGTGCATAAGGCTGCCAAAATTAAGCCAATTTTGCAAAAATGCGGTTCGATAGATCAATTATCCAACCTATAGTTCAGATTTGGCACCCTTGAAGTATGTCAAAATTGCTAAATTTTAGGTATAAGACATTATGTGGGACACCCTGTAGCATATTCTATATCTATCGCACATAGATAATCCACAATACCAGAAAACGCAGGTTATGGGCAAACAAATAAACCCATAAAGACCGTTTAAAAAAGCGGCAGAGCACCTCAGTGTGACCCCACGGAGTCATTGGATTTGACCCAATTTTCAATAGTCTTATTACATGTGGAATATAGGTCAACTGTGCAAAGTTTGAACCAAATCGGTCCAAGCGTTTGACAGTTATCGTGTTCACGGACGGACACCATCGACTCCCCTATAAACCTTGCATCGCTTTGCTCTGCCGCTTAATAAATTAATTAATTAATTAAGCTTAATAAAGATTTGTTACTTTTCTGAAGAGCAAATGCTAAGAAAGAGATTAATTCTTGAACTTAAAGTGTTGTTTGAATTATATTTTCGAATGAAAATTAAAGTACTAACATGGAATGTCATAAAATTTCTCTGTCTGGGGGGGGGGGGGGGGGGGCATGAATTATTTCCTGATCTGCTTTTTTGAAAGTAAAACGTACACTTTTACATGCGCCAATCAATTTGTTTCAGACTTTGCATCCGCATGAATTAGTGGTGCTAAGTAAATCTTTTGAAAAGGGGGGAAGGCACGTTTTATCCTTCATGGTATTCTAATCAAAGGTCTCAACAAAACAAAGAATTTTCTACCCTACACCCTGCCCTTTCTGACCCCTTATCAAAAAGGGGAGTTTGGGGGACTGGTTTTATCTTTCATGCTACTCTAATAAAAGGTCTTAACGAAAGGAATGAATTTCTGCCAACCATAGTGCTCCTTTTCGAACCCTTATTGTGATCGGATATAATTCCTTATATCTCAAGAACAGATTGTCGGAGAGAACTCACCAAGAGCGATTGGAACGTCTGGTAGAAATATATCCATTCGTGATGTTAAAACGAGTGATTGGCCCGTATGAATAAAAGTAAGCAAATGCTTATACTTAGCAAAATTCAAAGTAAATACTCGTAACTGCCCCTTCATACTGGTCTGTTTAGCATGGTTTAGCAGCGCTGCACTGCGTCCTGTCCTGCTGCTCAGCAGTGCTGCTAAGTCACCCAGTGAGAAGGAGTACTTACGAGTATTTACTTTGAATTTTGCAAGTATAAGCATTTGCTTCCTTTTGTTCATATGGGCCAATATCTCGAAAACGGTTTTCCGGAGTACTCTCAAAGGCAAAATGAATCGCCTAGACCAGATATATCTATTGGTGAAGTCGAAGCGAATATCCTGAAAACGAAGTGTCGGAAGAAGTCGTAGAGGGTAAGTAGAACGTCTTCAGTGCAAATATTTGCAGAACGGTGTATCGGAGGAAGGTACTCTCCAAAGGTCGGTGTTACCGATGTAAAAACTTGAATGTGAATATCTCGAAAGTGAACTGTTGGAGTGTCGGCTTGATTCTTCTTGCATTATATATCGTGGATTTTGAATGTCTTGGCCTTTAAATGTGTAAAGATCCCCCTCTCCATTAATCATCTAGCAAGAAGGTAAACCTCATGCTACTACCATAATAATCCAATAATTTCTCTAGCAATTTTGGTTTAAAAAAATGCGCTTTATTTGCACAAGAGTTCTGTACAGTTTCTCTTAGGAATAATCGCGACTGCATTATTCTTATAGAACAAAGCGATCTTGGAGGACAAATTTTTTGTGCAGTTTGGAAAGTGTGCTCAAAGCCAGAGGCACGGTAGAAACTGGAGAGGAGAAAAATTTGTCAGGAGCATTTGTTCGGTTTGTTGAATTATGACAGTTATTTTGCGGGTTGTGACAGGCGACGCGACGTGGAGGGTTCCACTGTGACCCTCCCACAAGACACTCATCACATAATCAAATCAATGTAATGGATCCATAGGGGTTCTCCACCTCCAAAAAATGCAAAAAGCCTAGTCTTTGCGTGGAAAATTGATGGTGGTCATTTTTTGGGACTGGGAGTAGGTTTTTTTTATTGCATATATGGCAAAAGTGACCACGATTAATGGTGAGCTTGCCTCAAAGCAAAACGACCGCTATTTTATACAATTGCATGGTCTGCAAAGCTCCCCATGTTTAAGCAATTATCGCAAACTGTGGGTCATAGAATTATCGTCGCATCCACCCTAGAGCCCAAGACATTCTTTTGTTCAAAAATTTGGAAATTACCTCCGGTGTTGGAAATTTGCCTTGTTTTTTGAAGAGCAAACCAGTGATTTTTTTATGGAGTGAATCACCTAGAGAATTGCTGAACTAGATTGTAGTCAGTAGAGAAATAAATTATTTTCAAGATTAAAAAACGCTATCGTATTTCAATTGTAAGGGAAAGTATTTATTATATGCTTGAAGGTAAATTTGTATAAAGTAAAATTGAACGAACTGTGATATGAATATGGAAAAGTGGAAATTTTACGTTTTTACAAGGTTAGAAAAACCGAGCATGTTATTTCAATCTGAAGCACGCATAGTTTTATTCACATTTCCAAAAAACGGGAATTGTTCTGGTAAAAAGCAGTACTTACAAACACCGAGTAAATTATTTTTAACATGTGAAACTTCGAAATGAACATTGGGCCCAACTTTAACCTTCTTAGGTCGGCGCTCCACGTTGCGGTGGACCGGAGAGGTATACCTGTGCAGGTTTACCTCTCCATTATACCTGTACAGGCGGGAGTTCACACACGCTAAGGTTCTCTACAGCCGAGAACTGGCGAGCCAACAAGATGACATGATTGGTTTGGTGGGTGCAGAGAAAAGACAATGGAGTAGGTACAACACGAACACAGCAACACGAAGCTCTCTAGTGCTTGTCTGAGTACTCGCCACAACTGACTTTCAAACTTGTGCAGGTATACCGGACGGCCCACACAGACGCTCAGGTGAGCACAACTGTGCAGGTAAAAAGAATTGAATTTCGGTCGCCTGCGCAGGTAGATTGACCTGTGCAGGTTTGCCTGAAGTGGCTAGTTACCTGTACAGGTATACCTCTTCGGTCCACCACAACCTTAGTACTGTCCGTTTTTGGTAAGGGATTTGGTGCCTCAATCTGTTCATATTTTTCCAGAAATTAAGGTTTGAAATCGTTTAGGGTCCAGCAGACTCGCCCTTTATGGCACAAATTTCCCTTCTAAAAAAAGGGTGCCCCGCCGTTTGTAGGTTGAGGTTATTTATTTGAATGATTAGTTTTCCGCTATTTTTTACCGTATAGACATCGCATCATCTGATATTATCCAAATTGTGTCTTTGAACTTCTGAATACCTTGAACATCACTGTAGGTTCCATTCTGATTGGAAAATGTTATCAATCAACGACATAATACAATAGAATATATCCGAGTAGAGGAAAACGCCAGCGAATCAGTGGAGAATGGATAACACTCTTAAATCGCGCTCGTATTTTTCATCTACCACGCTCTGCTATGCGAAGTATTTCGAAAAATTGTATATCTGTCAATGCCAAAGAGCCTTAAATGCAAGCCAGGTAACAGTTACTATCTAAAAACGGCACCTTTATTGAATTCGATAACTCAAAGGTTTCCAAGCAAACATTTCTTTTAAAGTTTGAAGTAGTATTGATTTTAAATGCGTCGCTGTTGAGTTTTTTGAGTTAATAAGATCATATTCAGGGAATATTTTAAATTGGATCGCGCACGATTATTTTCCATCGGGTTAACACATTAATAAAGCTTTTTATATCAAAACAGCCTAGGGGGTAATAACTAATTATGATGTATAATTAAGGGTGGAATTCATAACCGCAATAATATTCATCATCGGAAATTGCTGCTTTTAAACCAACATTCATTAAGTACAATTGATTGCGTACATAATGGAAGCAAACATGCAGATGTATGTTTTCAGGGTATATGCTTTCCTTTCCAATGTATTACGAAAAGTGAAATGTCAAAGTGAACGTTCACTTAAAGGAGGTTAATCAATATCGCCGAACCTGAATAGAAAAATGCCACTGTAGGAGAATTTGGAAAATATATTTTGGAAGAAGCATTGTTGACAATGCTTTAATGTAAATTTGTTTGTTTGCTTATATACAGCGTTCGTGGAGATTCTTCGGTTAGAAGTTTGAACACACGGTTACGTTCGATTTAGTTATAAATTTCTATGGTGTAATGCGAGTTTCTATATTCAATGCGTACCCTAAAGTAATAGTGAAGCACAAAATTAAAGCTTTTCTTCTCTATCTTAAACTTCTAAAATCCTTACGAATTTTTCTTTAGGGCATTCAGGCATTTTGGTTGGTACGATTACGTTAAATTTGTGCGCGTGACTTCTGATGTCATTTGCTTGAAGTCACCTATCTGTATCCATGTCATTGAGATCTCTACCCATTGTTTCCGGTACACAACAGACAACAAAACATAAACCGCATACGGATATGGCAGCGTACAACCAAAAAGCACCGTGTAAACCGAGTAACACCTGAAAATCGACGAAAGTTTTCACACCGATGAAAGCGCATAAATAGCTGAAGGCCGTCGCCAGAGCGGTACCAAGTCCACGGTGCTCTAGTGGAAACAATTCGCTTACCAACAGTAGCGATATCGGACTAATTCCTAACGAGAAAGCGACCGTAAACACAAGAACGCACAAAAGTGGTATCCAATCCAGTTGCGGTATGGCTACGCTGTGTGAGCTTTGGTAATAGGCAAATGATCCAAAAGACGCTAACGCTAGCGACATTAAAACGCTGGACCCCACTAGTAATGGAAGCCTACCGACGCGGTCCACCAGAAGGCCAGACAAGAGAGCCGATAACAGCTGGACGATGGCCACCGCTATAGCGGCGCTATGTGGATTTGTTCCGTCAAAGGTTTGCCTAAAGACGCTTACTACGTAAAAGTTGAAGGCGTTTGCACCGGAAAACCGCTGAAAGAACATTAGCCCGCACGCGATCAAAGCGGGTCCACGAAGTGTTCTTAACAATAACATCGGATTGGAAGGAACGGCACGGGAAAGTACGTGAGCTTTTAGTATCCCGAGTTCTAAGTGTAAATCTACAGTTCTTCCCCTAAGCCATTGCAAGGCCTGTTCGGCTTCCTGATCACAACCGCGTAATACGAGCCAGCCAGGACTTTCGGGCAATCGCCATACGGCTATACACATGGCACCAGGTGCAACCGCCATTAAACCAGCGAGTTGCCTCCAATCTAAAATTGCGCCCGCAGCAAAAGCTACAAGGACCCCGACATGACCTGCAATTTTTAAAAGGGCACTTAAACCTCCGCGTACCGTCGGTGCCGAAATTTCACTTACGTATACTTGAGCTGCAAGTTGTACAATTGCTACTAAAAAACCGCTAACGAAAGCCGCGAATGCCATTACCTCGACTCTAGTCGCTAAAGCTACCAACACCCAACATGCCGAAAGAGGTATACCCGCCAACACTAAAGTACGGCGCCTACCCCATCGTACAGCCGCGCCCCCCAAAGGTGCACCAAATAACGCACCGAGTAAAGACAAACTGGCTAACCATGAAGCTTGCTGACCATTAACTGGAAACGCATCATTGTCACGTTGTTGCAATGAGGCGATCGCTGGTGAACTGTATCCCTTGCCGAGTCCCGCGGCGAAGGGTCCCAAAGAGACGGCCAGAGCAGCCAGTACTTGCCCCATGTATTCCGTTTGCCCCGTGATTAGTATACGTCCTCCTGGTCCTGGCACCTAAAATCGCAACACTTAAGAACTGTTAGAATTCATCTAAAGGATACGTTACAGTATAGGTATAAAATTCGCGGGTCATCCCCTTTGGATCGTTACATAGTGACAATATCGGAACACTTCTCACTCACCACACAAGAACATAAAAATCGCACGCCGTCGTTAGATTTGTTGCCATATTCCTGGCTTGCGTTCGTGTGTTTATCGCGCCGTTTTCTGCAGAAGTGCGAGAACCAGAGCGCAGTGCGCGCAAAGCGGGGTGAACTTATCGACCCACCCTATGCGGTCCGGACCGTGCCAACAAATTCATTATTATGTCGGCCTTCTGTATCTCCTACATGTATATTTGTTATGTCGCAGCTTCCTTTGTTGTGCGAGATTATCCTTCGCCAATCCTTATAATGCGAGGTTCCAGTCTCATTAGGTTATAGAGTTAATGGCGAACATCTATCCGAATTTAACCCAGTCCGGAACTTGAAAAACATTTGGGGTAGACCACCAAAATATTCTCCCTTGTACTAATCGAAACTTAGTACCTACTTACGTCCAAATTATAATCTTGTAATTTTATATCCTTTTTTATAGCGCTTTTTCTTGAGAAGGGTATAATCAATTAAAATTTTATGGATAAGGAAATTCAAATTACTTTTCGCAATTTTTAATTAAAAGTCTTATAGGCTTAACAAAATAGAAGATAACGCTATGCTTTCAGAAGGGGCGAAGGATGACAAAAACTGAATTGCTACTCCACGCTTTAATATTTCGATAAATATTTAAAAATCCCAACTTTACGAAGCACGCCAGAAGCTCGGATGTGCGAGATTAAATTATGAATTCTAAAAACACGCAACTTCAAATAAGGATGGCACCTTACTTTGATTTAAAAGATGAAAAGGAAAGAAATGCATTGTGGCGTCTTTTTTTCTATAATTTTATGAAAACTCTTTTATCTGCAAAGTATTCATTCGCCTTCCTCTGATCTCGTACCTTTGACATTTTGAAATATCAGCAATTTGCGAAAACTTTGAAGGCACGAAACACATCTTTTCCATACTGTAGGTGAAAATCAGCGAAATTAAATTAATGAAGGATTAGCGACCCTTTTCGTATAATGCTTAGGATACTTGACAGCTGAATATAGACTTCTTATGTGGTGGAATATTGTCAATCTACGTAGTTATAATCCGATAACGTCTACATTTAGTAAACCTTATCCGACAAACGCGCATTCTCATCCAAAACCGAATTTAGTTATTCGATTTGCAAGTTTCCACGTTGTTACTGAGAACACCTCTCTACTGTATTGAACGATAAACTTTTTAGTAGGAAGTTCACTTTTATAACAGTTTCTACATCAATTTTCCACCAACAGCTCTGTAGTCCAAATACACTTCTTTTAAAATGTTACTTTACATAGCACCGTTCCAAATTGAGTCTGTTATTAAGATTCATTATATTCTTACATAGAATTCGCCTATCTCCCACCTAATGTATTATCCAAAATACTAATTGGTTCTGCAATGGTTGACGATAAGGATTTTTTAACCCTTCAACTGCAGCTCGCGTTGCCGTAGACAAGGTGCCCTTCCTATCGCCACGTGTTCTTTCCTTGTCAACAGATGCTAGTTGATGAAAAAGATGTGAGTTCAAAAAACAGACCCTAAAAGCTCGAGTATTTGACATATACCTGAGTTTGTGCCAGATCCATTTTCCTTTGATTTTGAATAGCAGTTTCATGATATCACGCTGGATCATGGCCTACCAAAAATTGGTCTTTTCTAATCCAATGCGGGTAAAGATGGGTAAACTTTCATTGTAAACAAAATCTGAATGTATTGTCCTAGCTCTGTAGTATTACCGACAAGACGGCGTGGCTCATGAGGATCTATTAAATCTTCTGAACCTACAAAACTGTAACGGCTAAGGTTTTTTCAATTTAAAGTAATTTCTTTTTATTGCTAATTCGAAAGAGAATTGTATATTATAAGAATTCATAAGTATTATACCCTTAGCAAAGTTATTTTTATCATGGAATGTGAGATAAGTCGTGCGGCCGGCCGACCGTAGAAGTGCGGGAATAGGCAGTCGTCTGCGCGCCAACGTTGGCTGTGTTAATTTCGCGCAATTGTTTATTTTAGCGGTGCATATTTTTGTAAGCGACCGATCCATTTATTAAATAGATGATATTATAAAGTCGTTAGCAATATCGAGGTACCACTTTTAACATTGACAGCGTAATTGAACGTTCTAAAATTAACCTACCTTATACTCCACCTGAGGTAATGAGAAACGCAGCGGTAATGTACCTCGGCTGCCTCTTTATTAAGGTGGACAAATGCCACCTCTCCACCGTTATCATATTTTTAACAATACATATTTTTAGTTGTCTGTCTCCTTATAGCTATTATGTTTGCGGGTGTCATCGCCCTTTCCTTTTGTGAAGTTGGACGACCTGGAGTTGGTCTTGTGAACCTCTCTCTGGATGGTGATACCGCCACTAGATGTGGTAGGGGGCAGTTTGACCTAGTTTTGCCTTCCTGACATCAGCGCCTTATCTTTCACTTTGGTTTGTAGGCCAGTAAATGACCGTTTTGGCGTGTAATTTTTCGCGCCTCGACGGATTTGCTTGAAAATTTGGATTTAGGTTCCTCTTACCCTCTACTTCAAAGGTGAACTTGAGTCCAGGATTGCTTTGACTTGGGGGGTGAATGCCCCCCCTTCTCGGAGGGGGGGGGGAGTTACGTTTAAAATAAGTCCGTAAATTGATAAATTGCGTAATTCTAAGCAACTTTTGTTCTGTAGAGTTTTTTCACTAAGTCAATAGTATTCGAGTTATTTGCGAGTGAAAATGCTCATTTTCAACAAAAAAAAACACGTTTTCAGACGGTATTTCGCAAATAACTAAATAAGTATTGTATCGAAAAAAGTATTCTTAGCAAAAATATAGATTGTAAAAAAAACAAAATGGTCTATATATGAAGTCTGTAGACCCAGTAGAAGCAAAGTTGTAGCTCATGAAAAGTAGGTTCTCATTCGTCAAATTCCAAATCGAGTACTTCAACGTGAAATAACCAAAAAATGAAGCACTTTTCGGGGAAAACTTATGAATACTTTTTTAAAGTGTTTGAAACACCTTTCTTTTTGTTTTTAAGAAAAGTTCCTAGCATCAAAAAGGTGAGTTACGCTCAAAATAAAGTTGGTCCTTTTTTTTTGGTAAAAAAAATCGATGAAATCACCCCCTAATTAGCACCCCAATTGTAATTAAGCGCTACCGCTTTACAGTTTACTTTATTTATGTCTTGTTTATATGATCTGTAAGTGTGACCGGTGCAAAGTGCTTATTTTTGAAAAAATGTAGTGTTGAAGTAAAAAAATTTTGAAATTTTGAAAAATTGCCTTTTTTTTCAAAATAATAATAATAAGTTATGTTGTTTAATGTTAATTGATGTTTATTCACTGATTTAAAGGATGATTTGAATCAATTACCCGCTTAAATTTACAATTATACGATTTTTTTCTAATAGGGGTAGTTTTTTCCACTAAAAAATAAAAAGCAACCCTGGGCGCAAGTTCAACTTTGAAGTAGATGGTAAGTAGAACCTAAATCCAAATTTTCATGCGATTCGGTGGAGACGCGGAAAATTACACAGTAGGTATCACCGTATTCCACGGTCATTTACTGGCCTCTTGTTGAGGCTCGGGAAACTGCTACTGAGTTTAAGCGGTATCGTGAGATACGTCGTCTATATTTTTAAACTTTATAATATCCATGCTAGGAACAGTAGATTTATCTCCCAATGGCTACACTCGCCACGGAGACTAATAGAAGGATACAGCTCCCAAAGGAGACAGTACGCAGGTCTTGTTTCTCAGTCAGTCTCTATAGTCTATTACCACCACTTCGCGGTCTGACCCGAAGACAGATCGAGGTGGTTTAGTCTCAATCTCCCGTTAGATAAAATTCTGGCCAAAACAATGTATTGCCATCCCTTCATGTAACTTAAAGGTCAAGACCCAGCCATCCGGATCGTTTCGTACCTCACAAACACGAAGGTGCTGGATCTAATTTGGCCGAGTTAGCATATTAGGAATAATCCAATCCATCCTGTGACGTCGAACCACGACCACGTCACGGAATAGCACTGAGGGGGAATGATACAGCGTTAAAAATAAATTCTCCACATTTTCAATTACGATATTTTAATATATTAGTGGTCCTTTTTGACAGCATATTTGTCGCGGATTTCTTTGCCTAGGAAAATGGAAATTATTTTTATTTAAGATAGAAGGGTGTGCTGATATTAATTTCAATTCGTTGTGGTTGCTGAAAGTTTTCCTAAAATATGTCATAAAATAAACTATTGCATAAAGTTATAATCATTGTTTTGTACGAAGTTTGTGTATCTTACAATTCTTTTTATAAAAGTTTTTTAATTATTACACGAACATTTTCTCATTTTATGTAGGTACTTTTAGCCTAAATTAAAATTGTCCGCTTTTGTTAAATCTGAAATGCTGATTCTTTATTTTAATACGCATTCGGTGAACCGTTACTGTACTGCATTTCAGATTCAAAAGTTTCATTACAGCTCATCTAAATATTGTACGTTTACAAGAAGATTTGTCATATATTAACTGTGCAGGACAGAAACCCAACGGTTTCCAAAACATAATCCTACGATCCACGTGTGAAAAATAATCACTCATTTTTATTTTCCGTTTATTTTCAGATCTTAGAAAATAATTGAAGAAATTCACCAGACAAGCGCCTACGGCTGAAATATTTCAAAATTTTGGGAATCAAGCCATAGATATGTGGCTCACACACTCACACATCATACAAACAAGATATTTTTTGGATATTCATCCTCCAGCCCACATTTATTAATATGTTATAGGTATGCACATAAACTTGACGCGATGAATTAAATCTCTGCCCATACTATTAGATGCATTAGTTCAATCCTGACTAGTATGATGAACTGAGATTGAGCTTATTTTACGACAAGCTGCTATGTCAGGGAAAAACGACTTGTCTGAAATCGACCGCGAGACTTTCTCTCATAGATTATGGCCTGTAGAATCCAAAACGACTAGAATTTTCCAACATTGGACCACTACATCAAAAGTGATACCCCTTTCCTTTCACATTG